GTGGAAAGGTGGAGCCCATCCCACCCGAGCATGTCTTTCATCGTGATGTGCGGGTCGTTGTCAAGGAAGCCAAAGCCCGCCTCAAGACACTATTCCCAAAGCCGCCAGTTGGTCTCTGCAATGCATGTCTCATGCCGTCTTCCACGTCTGCTCACTGGTAGAACAGAAGAGAATACCACCTGTGCACCTATCTCCTTCTGCATGCCCCCAGAGGGGGGCATTTCAAAATAGCAATTTAAGACAGACCTGGATAGATGCAATGTAAGATTTAATCAGGTTAGGTTAGACTGGTCTACTCAACTTCTGTTCCAGATCCACCAGTGCTCTTCTGCTCTGGCCAAGCCAGGCCAGTCCTGCCCTACCCCTGGGCTATCACAGATCTGAGACAGAAAAGTTTCTGCTACTCAGCCTAGCCAGTGGGGAACATAGCGGGGCTGGCAAGGTGGGGAATGGATCCACCTGCCCCAGTCCTGCCCCCCCTCCCCCAATTGTGGTCTGTACAGCATGGGAGGCCCCCAGCAGCAGGGGCTTTCCCCCCCACAGCCTGGCTTTCCACCCTGCAGACCAACTGGGCAATTGTCCCAAACCTGCCCCCATGCCAGCTGGGAGGCCAGGTCTGGCAGGGGCTGCATGGTTGAGGTGATCATGCAGCCAGGCCTTGGAGGAAGAAAGTTAGGCTATGGGGGAGAAAGCCCCCACCATGGGGACCTCCCTCCACACTGTGCAGACCACTGCTGGGGCAGGTCTGGGGTAGTGGGGGTCCTTACCAACTGCACTTGCTCCCCCCAGGGCTGCCATGGCAAGCAGGTCTGGAAGCCTAGAGCTGCATGCAGGGGAGGGTCTGTGGTGACAGCAAGGGCTTGAGGCATGTGCCTGACAGCCAATCAGAGGTGGCCCCACTCAGCTGGGGTCAGCTGCCCTCGCCAATGTCCAGGATGCAGAGAAGTATGCAGAAGTTCCCCCCACCTTCTGGCCTGGTCAGTACAGGCATTTGGCTGTCCCCTGCCCCCCCCCCCCCCC